ACGAGGAATAGACACAGTTCCTATGCAATGTTCTACACTAGTATTAATATCAATTAAATTGGTGCAGAGACTGTGATTTGGATTTTTGGTTTCTAGTCAAACGGTATTTAACATTTTGATGATGTTATTCGACAGAAGATCTGCCCCGATTCTACTTGGATGTAAGCCATCAGCGTGAAGAGCCTCGGTCGTTCCCAAAACAGATTCCAATTATTTACAAAGAGCAGTTTCTGCTCAGTGCAGCATGACAGTAACCATTTAGCGTGAATAATCTACTAAACTTTTCATGTCCTAGTCGGTAAGTAGGAAACGGTCCAGACACTATAATCGATGTTTCAGGCGATGTGCTGCGTACCTTTTTTGTGTGAAACAAAACGTGAGTAACCTGTTGAAAGTCTTGTCTTGAAAGAAGTGTTTGATCATGTCTTAGTTGTTAGTTTGAGCGTGTGTTTTTTTCACGCTGAAGCGCCGAGCGCCCAGCGTTTTTTACTGGTGGTCGAGAGTTGAAAAATGTTCAACTTTGGATAAAACGTAGCAATCACTGTCACTTTTTACCCACCCGTCCAATCAGAGTGGAGGAGGGGCGGGACTAAACCACACTGACCAACTGTCACAACATTCTTCTGTACAACGACATCAACCAGCAGAGCTAACCGAACAAAATGGATGAAAAATACATTTTTAGTATGAAACAAATTATCTGTGAAATCAGTTTCGAGTAAACTGTGCTGCGCATATTCTGTATCATAACAACGAATGGTCTCAACGGGAAAAAAAACGCTGCGCTGACAAAACGATCTCAAGCGCTCAAAGCACGGCGTCTTCAGCAGCGTCTAGTGTTTTCAGCTGGCTAAAAACGCTTTTGTGGACATGGCCTTACTGTCTACTATTAGTTTAGTATTGTCTATCCTGTCTTGTTTTGCCCCATCGTGGGTTTTGTTTTCTGTTTATAATAAACCATCACTGCATCCTGCATTGCACCACATAACAAGACATTGTAAAATTACCTGTTCTATACAGTACCTCATGTAGTAAAATGAGTAAGTCTACTTATTGCTACGCCAATATATATACACAAAACACTGCTTTGAGCAAGTAAGACATACTGGTGTTGTATATTAACCACCCGTGGTAGATCTATACCTACGCTATCTCACGACCAATTCGTACAAATTCGTACGAGTGATTCAAAAGTGGTTAATTCGTACTAATTCATACGACCTCACTCGTACGAATTTGTACGATTTGTCTAAACCCACGTGACGGTTATGTTTAGGGGCGGGGTCAGGGGTAGGTCATTCGTACGAATTTATACGAATTGGCTAATTCGTAAAATATGTACGATTTAGCAAAATCGTACGAGTGAGGTCGTACGAATTGTTACGAATTAGCCACCTCGTAAAATTCGTACGAAATTCCGTGAGATCGGGTTGTCTATACAGGTGGATCTGGGGAAGGTGGAGGGTTTCTAAAAGCTTGCTGCACTGCTACAGAAAATTCATGCAGTTCAATAAACATCTAGTTCAACCCAACCTTCATGCTCTTTTCTATGTTTGTCTGAAATAAATAAATAAAAAACGGGTTCCACCAGAAGTGGGCATCTGCGGAATAACGATCATCCAAGTCCATGAGATGGTGGGAAGTTAGGGAAGGACATAACATTTTTAAGAGGATCAACTCTTCTGTTTTAGGGCTAATTGCTTGCTTTTGTTAATTGATGTAATGCCTGTCTCTTTAATTAACAGCCCAAATCCTAAAAGTGTGACTTGTAACGCTTCTTGAAATATCATCTTTTGTGTTCTGCAGTTTTGGAAATGATATGAGGGTTGACAGGATTTTTCTTTTGGGGTGAATTTTCATGTAGATTTTTGTTATGCATATACACAGCCAGCAAAACAATAAAGCTCTTGGTCTTTACAAGAGGAATTTTGGATAGCCTGGAAATGTTGTAATAAGTCCATATCTCTACTCCTGATTGAAAATTCGAGTTCTGACCTTGACTGACCCATTAACGAGAGTTGTTGAGGTAATGAAGAGGATTTGTTGACCATCACAAGTACCCATTTCATTAGCAAAGAGGCCACGGCCTTATTATCTTTGTGGGTAACATTTCAGTGAGTGCAGGCTGGGGTCAAAGTTGATAATCACTTTGATTTTATCAACCGAGTGGCTGTGCGTAGGATAGTGTTCTGGCAAACCTCTCTGGTGAACTATTCAACATAGCTGGTTATAGTGATGGGGGCAAATTTCAAATGGAAGGATAGATTTCAATGCTTTTGCGTTTGCAATTACTGTTAGTCCGAGAAACGTTGCATCCTTTTGCTAGTTGCAGTCAGGGTCGTAGGTAGGGTTTTAGAATCACAGAGGTCCCAAATGTGACCTAGTTTAGGGGATTCAAGGTCATGTTCCCCAGAGAAAATTATGAGTATGAGAATGATGATCAGTGAATTGTGATCACCACCACATAGCCAATTACAAAAGTGTATGCACACTTATGGTGCCAGGGGTTGGCTGTATATATAATTCAAGAAAGATGCATGAGGCAGGATGAACGAATAACAGGTATCAATTTTTCTGAACACGAAGAACGAATGCATACAAAACCTAACAATTTCAACGAGAGACAAATAACTGAGAAAGACATAAAGCTATAATACATAGGTAATCAACAGAACAAGAAGAGGTGAGGAGTAGTTAGAAACTATGACAACAAATGAATTACTAGAATTCAGGCAGTGACAAAGACAATGAAAACTAATATCAAAACTAAACATGACTGTGACATGGAGTTAGATTACTTCACTTCACTTTGGTTTTCAGTGGCATTGCCTAGGCTAGTTTTACCGGTGGAGCACAATGGGTGTCATTGCCATCTGTTATTTCTCTAAATCCCTGATGGGGGCTTACACCAGAAGCACCATCACTCAGATTGAGAGTCGGTTTGAGATCCCAAGCTCCACTGTTGGTATCATCGATGGCAGTTTTGAAATGGGTGAGTTGAGATGTGTCGAGCTGTACTGAGAAATGAGGGCAGAGGTTCACCCGTTAGATGAGTACTTATAGCAGTGAGTCACCACTGTGCAGCAATGTGACTAAATTACTGTTCATTCTTATGCATACTGTTCATGGTGCAGAGACTGATGATTTATTTTATGCGATTAGCCTTAACCAAACATAATAGGTTAAATAAAGACAGGAAATATTGGTCATTATTGTTGTACCTCCTTCAGAGCTAATTTTCACAGACCCAAGATCATTCGAGCAGGGATCCTGCTGATGGGTAATGTCTAGGTTACTACTGTAACCCCTGTTCCCTGAAAGAGGGAGCAGAGGCGTTATGTCAGAACGACTGATAAATTAAAAGAAAAACAACTGGCAGTGGGACGTGTCCAGTTAGGCAAACAGGTCCACCTGTGTGGCTCAGAAGCGTCAGCGTTCGAATCAGCTGGACCACCTGGAGGTGGTCGTGGGAACTCACCGGCTGCAACATTGAGCTTGCCCGGAATGTAAATGCCGTGAAGTGACCTCGGATTCTTCTGACTCCAGAGGAGGAGATTGCGGGCAGGTTGTGAAATATGACCACCCTGATGGTTGACATACGCTCCGGACCAGCACATGCTTGTCCTGTAGCAATGGTCTGAACCGGCGCAGGGTGAGTATTACTGCTAGCAACTCGAGACAATTGATATACCATTGCAGTCAAGGTCCTGTCCGAACTCGAAAATTCATTTCTGCATTAGCTTCTTGACCGCCTTACTTGGGTACAATAAAGTAAGTGATGTAAAACCCAGACTTTGGTGTTGTGCACTCGAGACTCGGACTCGGACTCGGTCTCGGGTCCATATTTTAATGGACTCGGTCTTGTCATGGACTCGTGTGCATTTTGACTTGTACTCGAACATATTGGGAGTCGGGACTCGGACTTATTCCCGAGTCCACTCGAGTCCCATTCAAAATACGTCATGATTATTACTGTATGTTAATATTTCTTTAAATTGTTGTTTGATTGAAACGTCCAATGTTTGCTGACTTTCTTGTGCGCAACTGTGCATAACTTGAGACTATAATGCACGCAAATGCAGCAGGACCCAGGTCAGATGTGATGTGGAGCTCAACTATGAAAATGTCTGCCTTATCATCCATAATTCAGTTTGCATATTAGAGCCACACAGAATTCATGTACAGTAATGTTCTGTGAAAGATCACTTACTGATTGTAACAATTGTAAGTAATCATAATAAAATTCCCTACACCCATCTGCTTTAGAATGCTTATGATAAACATTACAGCTCATGATAACTTTTGTTAACTCTACAATAAGTAAATCCACTTCACCAGCTAATTACTCCTCTACAGCGATGCCATAGAAATATACAAAACCGGAAGTTCAAAGACAATATTCTAAAGATGACGGTGCCCACGTTTCTCTGGTGCATAAGGTCTATAGCAACCACCTAGCAATGTGTTAAACATTTAGAACACAAACAGCATTGCAACGCCCTGGTAACCATACACCAACATGGAAGCGGCGAGTTTTGCTATCCCTAAATAACTTTTCTATTCAACTTTATCCAGTCTGTTAGATTTCATGCCATATCTGCTGTGGATGTTGATGGGTTTTGGCTGAAACTTCTTTTTGTTCTCTGACTTAAAATGAAGAGTGAGTCATTTCTACTTGAATCCCTGGGAAAGGGAAAATATTGAGCTATAAGTTTTGAACAAAGTCTAGCACTTTTAGAGCAGGTTAGATGATCAAGAACACAAAAGAAATAAGGCCTGACCAAAAATCTATAATATTTTGAAGACATTTTTTTCTTGGTACAGCATTGATTTTTCTCCAGAAACAATAATTAACGAGCAAAATGTCCTCATAAAAGTATTTGTTTTTCCATTGCAGGAAGGTTTTTCTACTCAAAGTCATTTGATACATTATGACGTAAAGGCAGTTGATGATGATGTCCACTACGGACGTCATGACAAGCGTCAACGCCGCTTTTGACCCTTTCTGCGAGTTTGAATTCTTCAAGCTAACCCCCCTCTCCATATACCCCTGATCTCTGCTGTAAATTGAGAGCTATATTTGGAGGAGTGTGATGATGTCACAAGTGGTTGAGGCTAGGAGCCTATAACAGAGCGAATGGAGTGAGTGAGTGTGTGAGTGTTTGAGTGAAAAACAGAGACATCGCCAGCACCTTCTGGAGCTGCTGTCCACTGGTTCGAAACTGCTGGAAGTGAGTACTGTTACTCTTTTAATAAAATATCAGGAAACTTTTTGTAGGCTCAATAACTGTTCTACTCATCTGATCTGTATCTCATCTGAAATGCAATTTTACTCATGCTTATGCTTTTTTCCCCCTCATTTCTTTTGCACAAGAACATTGCAAGTATTTTCAGTCTGCCATGCATTATCTGAAACTGTCCTCCCAGGTCCTGATCTTCCTCGTGATGCTGCATTGTGTCTCCACAGTCCCTCACAACAGGTATGTCTTCTAACTCATTGTACAAAGTCAAAATGTTAGGTGTCGGGATGTATTTTTGATCTGATTTTTGATCGATATTTTAGGATTGCCCCTGTCTAACCCTTAAAAATCCATATCCATAATCCAAAATCCATAACATATAATATTATAATACAATAGATGATATATTTCACTTAAAATAAGTTACAGAGGCTTGCACGTTTTATCTGACAAACGATTTAAAATGTAGCTTTACTTTTTAGAATAAAGAAATTTCTGAATATTTCAAATATTATGTATCTCCTATACGTAATACATTTTGGTCTAATGAGTACAATGATAAACTACGGTAAACTAAAAATGGTTACATCTTACTAATCTGGTTTTAAGTCAAACTAATATTTAGGGGTTAAATCAGGTAGAAGTTGCTCTTTAGGAGAAAAATGGCAGGTTATGTCTGTTTACAATTTCTGCGTATGTGAAGATATTAATAATCATCCACAATATTATTTGTTCCATAATGATACTAAATTGAGGCTTTCATGATTTTAAGAAACTTCTGATCTTGTGCTATGTAAAACAAAACAAAAATGAATGATTTGTAATCATAACATTTTTTCTTTTGTCAAATTAACTTAAATAATTTATGTAGTTCAGATAACATAATATTTTCTGATGCTTAAATCAATCTCCTTCATTGTATTAACTGAATTTTTCCAGTTCAATGAACTTAAAATTTCAAAGCAACCAGGTTACTTTATTTTTTTTAGTTACACCAACAATATTTTTTTTACAGTGTATATGCTGTGCATAAAGGGCAACAGATTCCTGGATCAACTTGACCAGTTTACAGTTTACTGTGATTTCGCTAAGTAAGACATGTTCCTGGATCGTCATAGTTTGTAAAGTAGTATAATATCAGCAATTGATTATCATTTATTAAAATGAATTGATCTCTTATATTTGCCAGAATTTCAATGGAGCACCCTTAAATTGATTTAAATACATTTTAAATACATTAATTTGACCGGATACTGAAAGAAAAGCAAAGTGTGCAGAATTGGTGGCAACTTTGAAGATTAATATTTAATTCTTTACATGGAATCTAAATAATTCCCAAACTATAATAATGTAGGCTGATGTTACACTCATAAAAATGAAGATTCTTTATTAGTATTGATGATTCCACGAATAACCTTTAACATCCCTGGAACCTGGATGTTACACAAAAGTGGAAAAATATTCTTTAGATTTTTTTTTTTCATATTCTTCACACTAAGAAAATGGTTCTTTTAAGAACTGAAAGATTCTTATATGGCATCATTTAAAAAACAAAATTTATTTTTAAGAGTGTAATGGCATCTAATTTTAGGTTACCTGACAAAAAAGGTTCAACACACTGTTGCAAGTGTGTAGAAGTGTGTGAGAGTGATATGACCAGCGGGCCCAAATGATCCACTTGCAACACATCTCCACTTCAGAAGATTGTAATAGTCAGGGAGAGTGGCACTCCATAAGCAGTTCTTGATGAGATGGTGCTTTGTGGCCTCTTCTTGTCGACAGATTCTCCCTTTCGTCCAATGAGCAGCCGGATGACTTGCAAGAGGCCAATGGATGGCTGGTTACAGATCTATCTGACAATCCCTTTGTGAGTTTTACAAAGCCACGGCCCCAAAGGGGTCTCGGTGCAGTGAACAGGTACTTGTGCAAATTAATTGTGTCAATTATGATTCATTGTTTAAGATGTTGCCATTTTTGAAGGTACCATCAAAGAACTTTTATACCATTTCGTAATTAAACTTGCTTTAACTTTTTTTTTCCTTAAAAAGGGGGTGGGGTGGGGGAGTTCTTTGATTAATGATATTTAGTCATTATTACCAATTATACCTCAGTCACATTCAGGCTGTTACTCAACAAATTTTTGTTGTCGAAATTTCAATTGGAATCTTGCAAAAGGTCTTGCAACCAACACTAACAGAAATCTGCTTGGATTGAGAGTGACTTCTGGATGAGTTGTGATTCTTATTTCGTACTTCACTACACTATTGATAAATGACAATGAACCTTATTTGCCTGCAATGTACATCAGCGTTAGTCTTTTATTCCCTATTGTGAAGTATATCCAACTGCTTCTCGAACAAGAAAAAATGTTGGGCGGGATTTGGTTTTGTCAATCGGGAATTGATTGAATCTTTGTAGTTATGTCAAGTGAGCATTCACACCAGTAAATGCCATCAAAAAATTGGTAATTAATTGTGATTTATTTAGGCATATGACTAACACCTGAATACCCTTTCTTACCTCTGCAGTCATCACATGGAAAAGAGGAGGTGCAATACAGCTACCTGCGTTACTCAGAGATTAGCAGATTTTCTCATCCGATCCAGCAACACCATCGGCACCGTCTATGCGCCAACCAACGTCGGATCCAACACTTACGGAAAGAGAGACCTGCTGCAGTCACCTATTTACTTGCCCCTATAGTTCAAATGGCAACGGAATCGGGGGCTCGTCCGGGAACCCCAAAGCGAGAATCATTCCCCTATAGTAAAAATAAATATAATATGTATGATAATGATGGAAATTATTCTGTTTGTACATGATAGCTTTTGTTTTTTTCCCTTTTTTTTCTCTGTGTACACAAAAGCCAGTGCCTTTTGGTGTAAATTGTTTGCAGCATTTTCAGTTTCTGGTAAACCTTGCATGACAATAAGGTTTTCAAACACGGTGCCATGATGGCCAATGAATAAAATGTATTATAAAGAGCACATGAATAGCGACGAATTGACATATTGTTTTGATTTATTTTCTAATAAAAGAAAAAAATGATAATACACTTCTCTGCTCATATGTCATTACAATAAGGTTAATAAACTTGTAATCTAAAAGATTTCTTTGTTTATTATTGCAGGCCAGATTTCGAAGCAATACAGCAAGAATGACTTTGGTTTAAAATGGCAGATTTAAAAGATCAGTCATTCATTTTTGTTAAAGATTTACATTATATAATAACCCTCAACAGAAACTGATCAAGTACTGTGTTATGGCAAATGTGGTTAAATATACCATTAGCCATTCGAACTCTGTCAGACACCATCTGATTGGATGTGGAGCTTCGCTATATCTCTGTTTTGATGAGCACACAGATAAGTTAATGCACACCAACATCAAGTGGTTGTATACATTGTTTACAGTAGGCTATTATAACCATGAGAGACACTCAATTTGTGCACCATTATAGGTCATAATAGACCTCTGACCCTGACTAAAATTGAGGAGGTACAGTACAAAAAAGCATTGAAAACAGTAACAGAAAAACAGTAACATCTTGTTTATGTCCATATTTTCTTGGTCAGTGGTGACATTTTTTGAAAAGTGTGTATTATAGATTAGCACTATTGCAAAAGTTTCATTGTGTCTTTAAAAATTTGAAAAGGAGGTAATTTTCTCTTTTTAATCCATGCAATGCATATAATTGGTCTATTGGTTTCTGCTCTAATGCTGTGGTATATGTGGAAAGGTCCCATGCAATATGAATGTATTTTAAAAATACAACTTTTGATTTAATTCCTGAAAACAAATTTACGAATATAATTTTCATAATAGCAATGCTAATTTCAGCTAATTGAGAAAAAAAAATTTGGGTGTACATACCAGAGATACTTAATTTTTAAAGTTCTTGTTTTACAAACACATAAAATAAAATAAATGCACCATTGGCACAAAAAAATGTAGAGTGAAAATGTTGTTTAAATATTATCGACAACTCTAAAATAAAACATCTCTGTCATCATCAGTGACTATCATTTTGTCCACATGTTTGAACTGGCAATCACATCAAAATATCCTGTTCATTTTCCCTCTTCTCTTCGATGGTGAATGTCCACCAGTGTGAGCAGTCGCACACATTCTGTAAAAAGACGTTATAGAGACTGAAATAGATGAAATACATAAATGTGGAAGGGTCAGCCGCAATACACATGAATCAATCAAGCAGAAAAATACGTGACATTTCAGATAATGGCTGATGCATCATCAGCAACAGAGATGGACAGGTAAGGCCTAATGAAAGTTTCAGCAATACATTTTCACACAGTCCCTTTCCCATTCACAAGATGGGCATCTGTAATGATCATGAACATAGTTTGTTTTAAAAAAATACCACCATGTTTTTGTGGTCACGATATATATATATATATATAATATCTGTGACGTAGTTATGTGACATGCAATTGAAGTAATAACAGTACATTATGCATAATTACAAGTAATTAACCCTTTTAACTAAATTCTAATCCTACCCTAACCCTATAGTAAGTACATGTATTAATTATTACTCAGTACTTAAATACATAATTACACTGTAACAATGACACCTTACAATAAAGTGTAACCCCAAACCCTAAACCTAACCATAAATCCATAGTACTGCAAGTACATGTAGTTAATTAATACTCACTACTAAATACAATGTAACTAAATCACCTTAAAATAAAGTGTAAACAAACGTCAACTCACAATATTAGCAATAGTAAATATATGCCTCATTTTCTTTAGGAAAAACATAATATACATATATATATATTTTTGGTTTTGGGTGGAATATGTGGCAACACTGAAGCACTTCATATCATTTCCTCTTAAAATCAACATCGTAATCATCCTGACGTTGTAACGAAATCTGTTTCTGTCCCACTGTGACATCATTTCTATTCTGATCTAAGCGTATCAAACAGCATATATATAAAACAGGGTGATTCCTGTATTAATAAAACAGGAAATAATAGGATTGGCTGCGGTCACGGATAATTTGGCGGTTGATATATGTCACAATGACGTCGGTGTCCACAAAGAGGTTAAAGGCTACAGCCGCTGTTCAGTGCGGTTAATATGACTGAGATACAGGGCCATCAGATCCATTACGTACACAGACAGAGGAGATGAGAGCTTGAGTTCCAGTGTGACTCATTTAATCTGGATAATTTACTTGTACTTTTTAATTAGGCCAATGGAAAGTTATAGTTTGTCCAGTGCAACTGATGTTTCATATCTCATCCCTGCTTTCTTAGTGGAACATTTTATTTGTTTGGAGGTTTTACTTTGGTAGGTTCAGCTTTGCAGTCATACCACTTAATACACATCATTTCACCACATAAATAATTACCCAGACAGCCAAAATATAATTGAAAATATACTTTGAGGTAACACAGTTTTCCATTATGACATATCAAGTGTGTTAAAAACGACTCTTGTGTCCATTTATTTCATTTAAGTATGTTTTTTTAAAAAGATTTGTAGTATACAAGCGCACATTGAATGCAAATATTTACAGTTAAGAGCAGCTTTCGTTTACAGCTTAACTTGCTTGCAGCAGCTACTTGTGTTTTTCTTAGTGCCGTCAAACCGATTACTCGTGATTAATCTTTCTATCATGAAAGTATGATATGTTATGAAAGTGATTGTCACACTTTCAAGAGAGAAGAGATCGCAGTGAGCTCAGTTTCAATGGATTAGCCTAAAGAATAAACAGCGTGCCACACATAAAGTTCATTAGGTTAAAACAACTTGGGCATGTTCCGAGAAGAGAATATTACCTTGTGAACTCTCCTGTCTAGTGAACTTAGGTTATCCTCACGTCCAGGGGCAGCTGTTCCTGTGTGGATCAAATGTGAGGCAATGTTTTAACATGTCTAAGGGGCATATCAACATTATCAACATATCAACATTTAAGGGGCATGGCAGTGTAGGCAGTAATTCAGATAACACTTCCGTGTCTGTGTCTGTTATTCTGATCATTTTTCTCTTGTTTTGACACATTTGACACTCTTGGTTTATTTTCAGTCAGTGACTCATGAAAGCAGCACTCTTCAGACATAAAAATCAGAGGACATTACATGTATTATGCCGGTCACGGCTATATGTAATTACCTGCAGCACTCACGGCAGCGCTGATATAACAACACTTGCTCGTGTGATATTGCTATATGACAATTCATAAAGTCGTACAATTATCCAAAACCATTGTCCCAAACCAACCAGTCACGTTCTTGGACTCTGCATTCCTTTGTGTTTTCCTTAAAGGGATAGTTCACTTTGAAATTAATTTTTGATAACCTAAAAATATAAAAATTTAAACTACTGTGGAAACAACTGAATGTAATGTTTTTGTGAACTTAATTGCATGTTATTTAAAATTAATATATACATGTTATGATATATATATATCAAAAGCTATAACAACATTTTTTTGCCCTTTAAGTGGCCCTTTTTCATTATTAGCCTATACAGTCTAATCAGCATGTATATTTTTAAATGTATTTTGTATTTAAAGTTGGCTACAAAGGAACATTCAAAACAACTGAACACATGTCTTTATTCCACAAGGTTAAAATGATGTCAATAAGTGTGCGTGAACAGCGGGGATTAATGCGTTGGTGGTTAGAATGTAATAATAATTAAAAAAAAAGTATTAATTTAAAAAAAAAGAAAAAAAAAGATTAATGCGTTGGTATATCGTAGCGCACACTGTTTGACCCTCGACGCGTTCTGTAGTCAGCTGATCAAAGTGGGTAAACACGGAAGTCCAGTCGGAATGAGATTGCTCTTTTTTAAGAGATTAATATGATTCTAGCTCAGACAGAGACCACAAGATATCGAGAAGTCAAGACCCGAGCAGCTCAATAGTGGTTTCGTTTAGCCTGATATAAGTTCGTAGCTCGAGATCCAGACATGTGCTGAAGTTTAATGGCTTCAGATAAACAAGTCGCGTTTGTCATCGTAGGTGGAGGAATCGCAGGTGTAACTTGTGCAGAACAGGTATGAACACAATAAAAAAAGACAATTGATGATCTAATGGCTGATCTGTCTGTTAATTGTAACTATAATCTCATAACTTTTGCAGATCGCATCGCAGTTCCCATCAGATGAAGTTTATCTTCTGACAGCCTCTCCCTTAGTGAAGACGGTTATAAATTTCAAACAGGTTTGATATTTCACACATAAACATTTTTTTAATGTTTTTTTTTCTTTTTCTATTAGCACTTTGTCCATTTATTTTGGAAAAAAGTAAACTTCTTCTTCTTCAAAAAAAAAAATCCTGAAAATAAATAAATAAATAACATATTAAAAAAATACAAATAAAATAGCCTACTCAATTTCAGTTAAAGGGTGTGAAAAAAAAGGTAAAGTGTGATGAATCTAATACAAATGTGTTCATACTTGCTAAACCAGAAAACCATTATGGAAAGAATATACTTATGAATATATTAATCATTGTCACTTACTTACTAAAAGTGCTTATTTTAGAAATAATATTCTTTAAAAGAATATGCATACATTCAAACTGAATGTTATTTTTTCAGACACTTAATTGCCTGTCATTGACGATTTCACGAAAATGTATTATATTTCAAATTTACAGTATATTAAACGGTTTTTTGACTAATTTAAGTATGTCTTCATTTGTCATTTCATAATTGTCAAAACTTTTAATTACATATATTCTATATTTTATAAGTTATCTGTCAATTACCTTTCTCCATGTAGGTGTCGAAGACCTTAGAAGAATTTGATATCGAGGAACAGCCATCTAGTGTTTTAGAAGAAAAGTATCCCAATCTGAAAGTCATACAATCTGCAGTCAAACTCCTGCAAGCTAAGGAACACGTATGTTAAAACACAAACCTTTTGTCTTTTTCTATATTGAAATCTTAATATTAATCCCTCTTTCAATTTCTGCAGCTTTTACAAGCAGAGAATGGCCATACGTTCCATTATAAAAAGTTATGTCTCTGCAGTGGAGGCAGACCCAAGCTTCTCCAAGACAAACCTCATGTGCTGGGCATACGAGACACAGACAGTGCTCAGGTACGCTTTAG